CAAGTGGTAGAGCGCTAGCCTTGAGCTGAAGAGCTGAGGGACAGTGCCCAGGCCCAGAGTTCAGGCCCCACGACCGACCCCCCCCCCCAAAAAAAGATGAAAGGTATTAAGGTTGGAAAAAAGGAAAACTATTTGCAAATGACATGATCTTGTAGGAAGAAGATCCTAAAGATAAAGAAGATCCACTAAAGATAAAACAAATAAGTTTGGCAGCATTGTAGGATACATAAACCATATATACAAACATCTATTGTATTTCTATACAGTAGCAATGAATATTCTCGTGACATTAAGAAAACAATTCCATTTATGCCAGATACTGAGGCTCATACCTGTAATCCACGCTACTTGGGAGGCAGAGATTGGAAAGATCCCTGGTTTGAGGCCAGCTGGGCAAAAAGTTTAGGATACTCCTTCTTAACCAATAAGTATGTTGCACACTTTCTTTTTTTTTTTTTTGATCTTAACATGCATAAGTCTCAAAAACACTATTAAACAAAGAAAGCAAATTTGTGAACAACTCCAAAGTACCTTTTGCATTACACACAATACTTTTAGAGAAGCGACCTGTGATGTTGCACACTTTCATCCCAGTTATGCAAGAGACTGAGTTCAGGGAGGAGGGAACAGTCATGGTTCCAGGCCAGCCCAGGGGCTGGGGGTACTGGGAATCATACGACCCTCATTTCAACCATAACAACAAAAGCTAGGTATGGTGGTATATGCCTATAATACAGCTATAGTGGGAAGTATAAGGCTAGTCTGGGCAAAAAGCCAGCGCCTATCTCAAACCAGAACTGTGCTTGTATAATCGCGAATACCCCTGCTTGGTAAAAATAACCAGAACAACAAAAAAGCTTAAACTGTAGAGCATCTGCTTCACAAGCATGAGATCCTGAGTTCAAACACCAGTAACACACACACACACACACACACTCACAGAAAGAAAGAAAGAAAGAAAGGAAAGAAAAGAAGAGAAAATAATTCCATTTAAAACAGGATATCTAGAGGAAGAAAAGCCTAGCAAAAGAAACGTAAGATTTCTACGTTAAAAATTATGAAGCAAGCCCGGTGCCAGTGGCTCACACCTGTAATTCTAGCTACTCAGGAGGCTGAGATCTGAGGATCATGGTCAAAGCCAGCCCAGGCAGAAAGTGTGAGACTCTTATCTCCAATAAATCACCAGAAAACCGGAAGTGGCGCTGTGGCTCA